ATATTAGGTTCTTAGGATGCATTTTTATCATATTAAGCGTTTAGTTACTGTTTGAAAAAAAATATAGTCACGTGCATTGTACATTTGATTCAGGCGGTGCTTTAAAACAAATTAACTGACTTATTTTGAATTGAGTTAACTTAATATTTTTCTAYATATTAAATGTAACTGTTCACAGCAAATTTATGTATGATTTATTTTTAACCGTATTAATTTATTATGTAACTAAATATTCTGAGCGTTAGCTTATCATAACTAGGTAGATAGTATAAAAGTTATTAGTTTCATTATACATCGCACACTTTTGAACATATTTTATATTAACTAGGCTAATTTAATATGAATAAATGGTCTCCCGTCGAATGCAGGCACGGTAAAATGCTTTGCGTATATCATTAATAATGTACCTACGCTATTTATTTACATGTTTATATACGCATTTATAGATTTCCATCGTTCGTCTTACAGGATGAGTATTGTGTATTAAACGCATTGTGTAACGGCCGCATAATGTGACACGGTTTTAAATCATTTGAATTAGGTACTGTCGCGGTGATTGACGGTGACCAGTGTGTATAACCAGTCTATAAAATATATACGCATTGACATATAATTTATTACCCATACTATACGCGCTACTACACGATTTCGAAGCGCAATACTACGTGATTTATACTTTTGTGCGTAACTGCAGTATTATTATTATTATACAATATTATGTAGGTATACGTGTTCCGATGCGATTTAATGCGTCGACTATTATAATAGCCGGCCGCCGTGTACGAGCCGACTTTAGGTTCAACGTGAGTTTACAAACGACGACARAGTCTCTGAGATAACKTCGATTGACTCCAACTAAAATCAACTGGTAAATATGACAGAAATTATTGCTAATAATCATATAGTTCTAATTAGAATTCACCTATATTTTCTGACCGTCCAATGATTAATAGATTAAATGTTGTAAACAACTTTATTACAWTCACACGCTCTGCGTTTAGTATAGTGTATAGACACGTCGTCGTGTGGAGATAGGGTAACTACCGACTGCGACCAAAGTTAGCAGGATATAATTATATATTGACTAGGAAGTGCTGGGAATAGATAAATAAACTATGATAGAGATAAAAGACAGTTAAAAAGAATTTAACAAGATAAATATGAAGAATAAAAGATCCAAAGGAAGTTATGTATTTTACATAATTATAAGATAATATATTTGTGTTTTTATTTAAAAAAAAAAAAGATAAGCATGCCTAGGTACTTACTATGCTGAGGCTGTTCCTTAAAATGTATGTATTTTCAAGAGTAAATCATAAATCGATAGTAAATTATATTATTATATTATAACATTTACAGAAAAAATAACTAAGGGTTCTCTATCCAGCGAGAGAACGTTCCGATTTTGCGCATCCCCCCATCGCCACCCTGCTATCGAAGCTGGTTCCCTTATGGCTGGGTGTCGCTTGGGGATGCGTAGAAAAATCAAAATTTAGTAGGCACGCGACACGTTCTCACGCTGGACAGAGTATAAAACCTTATTTACGCGTTAAACGTTATCATTTTTAAAATACTAAAATTTAAGACACACAATTCATCACGGTATTACCGTGTTTTTCAGTGTAGCTGACGTCACAGCATACCAATCGAAAATAACAATTAGTAGCAATCCTCACAAAGATATTTGTGACTATATTTCGAATAATAAATTAAAGTGTATAAGAATACTTAAAAGTAGGCACAGTTAAAATAATATCTACGTTTTCATTTTTTTATATTTTTTGCGGATTGTGTAAAACAAATATTGATTAGTACCTATACATAATATTTTTTTTTATCAATTGATAAACAATATGATATAATAAATTAAAATTATGGATTAATAAATTTGTATCCAAGACAAATAACGTTTAGAATTTAATGCAGGTAAGAATAAAAGATAAAAGATAATAATATTTTTATCAAGATATATACGATTTGTGTGCATAATTTATTGATATTACAATATCATATAAAAACTAAAWAGTATCATAAACTAAAAAGTATCATTGACGATGAACTACGTCATGCCACTATTGATGATTAAACATATTAGATAATATTTTATAGAATTTGTGTCATTTTAGTTGTTGCTGTTTTATTTTTTACAAACAGGGGAACCGCTTAGTCTTTATAATACAACATTATTACTACGGTCCATATACCACTCGAAAGTACCAGAACAATACAATATAATACTATAACATTCAATATAGAGATATAATAATATTATTATGAGCTATGAACGAGCATTGAAGAGGCCGTGTCTGTATATAATATTTTATAGTATTGTTATACTCATGTATTGTAAAAATTCGGTTTGAATGTTATAGAGGGTTTTCGAGGTCTCATGCCCTAAAAGAGTTAGGTATATTATAATGTAAAATTATGAATTTAATAGGTTAAAAAAAAATAATGAAATTCAAATTAAAAGTATTGTTATAATTTTTAAATATATATTAAATCCCGTAATATTAGCGTAGGTAATAGCTATGGTAAATAATATTTTAATAATTCGTTAATCATCACTCATGAGTTAATCTGGGATTTTCGCTATGTATTCACAAGAGTGAAATATTATTGTACAATCAGTTTAATGTTAAGATTTAGTGAATGTTGATAAATTATGTTAACAGCTTATCCCATTTTTACTGTCAGTTTATGATTTATTCATTTTTTTAGAATTTGAAAATGTGGGGTTGGAGACATATGGAAAAAATATTACAAAAAAAGTCACATGTAAAGATTTATTCATTTTTTTAGAATCTACATAATGCAACAAACTTTTTTGAATAAATATCTAAATGATTATGTGTGCAATTCAATACAATTATATTATATACAAATATAGGTGCCCTATATTTATTTTCACTTTTATTTATTGAACTAAACAACTTCTGCTGCCTAGGCCATTATTGCAGATAATATGTTCAAATATTCTTAAACTTGTTAATTTCCTTTTAAATTTCGTCATACAATATGATTTTTTTTTATGGAATAATGACATTTTTTGATTGTTTTTCAGGCTTCGGTCTTAGTATTATATTGAGGTGTAAGTGTTTTACAATATTCAAGCTCTTCTTTGCACTTGCCATATTCGGCAGTCGATGTTTGACCGTTAATGTCTTCCTTTAGAATCATATTAAGTATTGTACGGTTTATTGCAAGGYAAATTAGATAAAAAAAAGTAGATTTATTGGTTTATTTTCTTGGTTAGTTATTGTGCAATTCTTGATTTTTGATACTACAAATTTATAATCACGTAAATATCTCATTTTGATTTCTAAAATTTAGAAATGTTGCGTTACTTCAGAGATTCTTTATTTATTTATTTATTTATTTATTTATTTATTGAACCAGTTGATTGACTTCTAAAAATAACCTAGGTTTATAGTAAATTACCAATGGGCAAAAATAGTTTTACATAATTAAAAGTCAATGATTCATGAGTAGAAATTATGAATTATAATTCCACATAGTAGCAACAGGCCCGGATAATCCAGCCAAGCATTCGAGAAAATCTCAAASGGCTGTTAACATTTTGGACCAGTATGAGAAATTTGCCGCAATGCCCAGGTAATGATTTTAATGATAGCTATATCAATAATATAGTATACAGTCATCAAACGTGATAAAATCATTATTATTTATTGATATTAAAATTCGTCCAATATTGGTTAATATAGCAAATTTGGGGCCGATTGAAAAATATTTCTCCAAGGATCTACGTAGGAACAATTTTAAAAATATTTGATTTTATTAAATACTATATGATATACCTACGTAGGCACTGCTGAATACTGTCACATAACATCTGCATACGCACATTTTGTAACTGAGAAATCAAAAAAGCAATGCTTACAATATCATTCTTTTATTTTAGAAATAAGAAATTTCAACGGCTTTAGTATCATATTTTAGGATTTAGTAGATCGTTT